AACGTATTTTGGTTACTTCAGCTATTTTTCAGTTATGAAAGCTAGGTCAAAGCAACTATAATTATGATTCTTTCAAAATGCCTGTGGATCTTCAAGTTTGTTTTCATCACCTGTTTTTTTGTTGTTGTTGGTTTTTTTTACATAGTTAAGGAAAAGAGAAAGCCAATTCTGCAGTTTTAAATTAAGTGAAGGCTCTGGTGCAACTGCACAGCTTCAGATCTAACTGATGGCCACATGTACTATACACATGGCAGGATTACCCAACAACTGTATTAGCTCATGAAATGATTCTCATTCCCATTGTTCATCTCCCACAGCTTCTTCCTCTCTTAGCATCAGTAACACTAGACATTGCAGGGTTATTATTTCAGTCCTCATAGGAATGAATCTCTGGCCTAGTGTCTTATCCCTTAAGGCATGTTTATAATCACTGGGAAACGTGCTCCTTGTCATGTCTTATTGCTTAATTACAGCTCTGTTTTAGGCTCCTAGAGTCATTTAGCTTGGAAAGACCTTTCTTATGTATGATCCTTGAAAATGCCTCTGCGTTGAATTATCCTTGAGTTCACACCAGTTTGTTCCATTTCTACCTTGTTCTAGACTTGGGCAATAATTACTGACCTTTGATTTGGCAACACCTTAAATAGTAGCAGCCTCTTACATTTAATGTATCATTCCTTTCTCATAAAGGCATGTGCTTAAAAGTTAATTTTTCTAATATTTGATAGGGTTTTACCTACTGAGAAATCCTAGTGGACTCCCTATTTTAAATCACTGACATGCAAAAACTTCCTTTTTCCAATTCCCTCTTGTTAGTTTTTAAAGTCAAAATCTAGATATATTTTCTGACAGATTGTCTTGCTTTTGGTTTTCCATTTAGTCATTATGTGTTACCCCCCAGTGCTAAAGGCAAATTGAAAGATATGGCAGGTCCTAAACACAGTTGATCCATTGTAGGGCAACTGGATAGAATATTTAAAATGCAGTGTTCTAAATATTTAGAACTTTTAGTAGATGCATCCATGTTCACTGTTCTTATCACTTATCTGGTTTCTAATGAATACATTCTGTTCAGTTTCAGTCTTGTTTGATAAATGTAAAGCTTAGTCCCCAAACAATAAGTTTCTTAGGACAAAGGGTACAGATCATAAACCTCATATAGCTCTGTTCATATAGGTAGCGACATACAGCTTGATCAATTGCATAAATAGCTGATATTGCATTTTTCAAGACAGCTGGTTAGAATTAGGAGCTTAGCAGTAGTCTGACATTAAGGTAAAGGACGACTGGAGAATAGAGTCCTGCTTCATCCCTCCAGAGAGTATTCAAGTCAGGCCTGGGGTAGGTCTATGTTGAGAGGCAGTATAATTACCCTGGTCCAGAGTGGCCCCAGGTCTTGTCTGGCAGACTGAGTTATATCTATTCAGGGTCTTTTAAAACACTGACCCGGCTCCTTAGAAGTACAAAACCCAAAGCATAATTTATAAAGGTCACTGGGAATAGTCTGGGTCAGAATAACTTGAGTTTGTTTTGTGCCAATGCCATAGAAGAGGAAGTCACTGAATACTTAGATAAGCTCCTGGAGAATACTATGTTGCTAAATCCAAACAAAGAATGAGATAGGTTTATAACTGAGTTCTTAGGTTATAATTCAAATGCCAATCTAGCAATGAAATATGTTCTAAGAATTCCAATCAGAGATTTTTATCCTCTGACTTGGAAACTAAAGTCTCTACCAGCTGTGTCCTCAGTGAGTACAGAGATTTACCACCTGCAAGTGCTATTAATTCAGCAGAACTATGTGGTCACAAAAATACCATGAGAAAAACTCTTTTTTTTTTTTCTTTTTTTTTTACTTTAAATGCAATGAGAATTGAACTTAAAACATTTTCTGCTTTTCTGAAACCTATAAAAATGGCTCTAATTTCAATAAAGAAGTAGTGGATCTAAGAGTTAAGGACCCTTCAATTCAGGAATTAGAATTTAGCTATGTAAAAGAAAAGTATGCTTTATCAGTGAAAATTACTGCAACTTTGTACAAAATAACTTTTAAGTTGAACAAGTGTGATAACACAATGTGGTTAACTCCCCAATTATGTACAATTAAAAACCTTAATAACCTTATACTTTAACAACCTGAGAAATGGAAGCAAGTTTTTAACACTGGAGAGTCAGTTTTAAAAAGTTCCTTAAATAAACTCATGGTGGTATTTTCGAACCCATAAATGAATCAAAGAAACTAACAATAAACATGGATTCATGAATTCATATCAAAAGCCTTTCAAATATATTTTATTATTTTTTAAAAGTGTACATGATATCAGGGCTATCCTGGCAAAGCCAGTTCGTGCATATGGTTCTCATACCAATGAGCCCCATTTCGCATTCATTTGCTCTTATATCCCACACATGGGATACAGCTGCCTGTGTAAAAAACTGATGCAATATAATTTTGTCACTTATATCATCACCTGAGCACTCGGACACCACCCTGGGAAAACCAAGCAAGAGAAGGTTTCTCAAAATGATGGTTTCAGTGGCTCTTTTATACCATATTTGAAAGCATTTCATACACACACACACAAGATGAGTTGGTTGTAAAGCAACTTTTTTAAGTGAAGGAATGCAGTGAACTCAGCCTGAGACAAGTCAAGAGATACACCAAGAACACAGAACTGCAACTTTATTAGCATTAAAAGTTTAAAAGAAGCCAGTCGGTCAACAAGTCATTAGTGCAATCTCTGGTCCTCAAATTCATCTGTAAAATAACACGATTAAATCAGATGATCTTGGAAGTCCCACCCTACTCACTTATTTCACGCTTTCATTTCTCCTGTAACTTAAGTGCCTAGATTGACAAATATCTTGTGTACCATTTTGTATTTCAATTATTTTGTAGCAGTTTGTTTATTGATTAATTTTTCTTAACTAGGGCCCATACAAAGGAGATAATGGTATCTACTAAGATACATCATTACTGCCACATACTGTTGGAAAAACTTTTAAGGTAAACAAAAAAACCCCACACTATAAATACATCAGGCTCATTTATTTTATAGAAAAATAGGAGTGCTTTGAATTCGACTTTTCATTTTTATGGATGACATTCATAAATAAAATTATAACAATTTACATATACGCTTCTGTTTAGAGAAATCAGTAATGGTTAGCAGTAATTTCAACTAAAATTACTACTCTAAAAAAAACACAAAGTTCCTACAGGATACTAGAAGACAATAACTTTCCCAGAAATTAGTATGTATACAGTATTGCACTGATCCTTACCCTTTTAAAATAGTGCATTACAGTGATTCAAAATAGTATTTTAAACAGACTTCAAATGACAAAATCTCTGTACTCTGAATTTCTGATAAATAGATCACAACTTAGATAGCCATAGATTTTGTAACAAGTCTATAATCTTTATTTCCACATTTACATATGGCATAATGTAGTGATCAAGTATTAGTAATAAACAATTAATAAAATTACTTTTAAGTAATAATAAGACCCAACATTTTTACAATTCAATGTTTTATGACAGGATAATGTCCCTAACATATAAGACACACTGACAGATAACTTTACAGAAAATACATCAATTTTTCTGATCATCTCAAGTGGCAATTTTATTTCATTACAATCCATTTTGGATTAATTTAACAAATCAGTACCTTAATCAAAGAAAAGACTTATATTAATGGTTGTTGTTGTCGTCAAGTTGGTTGACTCATAGCAGCCCTGTAAAGCAGGGGTGGGGAACAGTTAGCTCACGGGCCATCTGAGGCCCACAAAATCATTCAATCTAACCCTGCCAAAACAACCATAGTACCAGCCATCTCACTAGGGGTGAGTTAATTAAATGTTTGACCAAATATAGCAGGCTAATGTTTTAAGATGATAATTTTGTATGGCCCGTGAATGATTTTATAAATTTTGGCAGAAAAAGGTTCTCCAACCCTGCTATATAAAGGGTTTCTGATGCTTTAAATCTTCACGAGAGCAGAAACCTTATCTTTTTCCTGCGGAGAGGCTGGCGAGGCTCGAACCACACACCCTGTGATTTGCAGTCCAGTGCTTATCTTAAGAAGCCACCGCACTACAAATTAATGGTCAAGTTATATATATATGTAGTGTCTGTGGGCATCTCTGGGGGGTCCAAATGGTTATACACTTGACTGAGAGACTGGCACTCTGAGTCCATTCAGAAACACCTTAGGAGCAAAACCTGAATACCTACTTTATCTACTTCTGTCAGATGACAGCCACGGAGAAGCCTGTGGAGTGCAGTTCTACTCTGAAATACCAGGGGTTACCATGTATGGGAGTCGACTTAAAAGTCTGGGTTTTGGTAGTGTGCAAAATGTGTTGCACACACAGCTGGGAGACGGGGAGAAGTCTACATGCATGGATTAACCAAAATTCAAGTTGTAAATGAAAACCATTTAAAAGGTATTATTTAAGACAAAGGCTGTGGCAGTTTAAGTTGTCTGGTTCTTTAATAAACTGCACCTTCTAAGCGGCTTTACACTTCCAGGAAAGTCTAATTAGATGCATAAACTTGCTACTAGTCTTTCTCTTTTGCACGTAGTAATGTTTATGTCTAATTAGGCAGAATAGTACTCCCATTTTCAACTCTTCTCTCAGGAAAAGTTTTGTAATTTGATTACATACTATCACTGTCATTTTACTTTCCTGTATTTAACACGTTTAAAAACAGTGTAGGCTTGCTTTCATCGTTTTAAGTTACTTTCTTTCACCTAGTAATAATGATACATTGAAGGAAGTGGATACAAACAAGGTAAAATATACTCCTTGATATAAAATTACCATAATTTGACACTTCAGAATGCTCAAATGTGTTAAAATACTAAATACAGTCATGAGTTCAAAAATTCATTGTGAAGAGACTTTTTTTTATCAGAAGTCATGAAATAATCTATAACAAAAGTATATTTTATCACATATCATATTTGTTGAAAAGAACAAACACTGGTACTTCATGTGGGCAGAAAAGCTGAAATGTCACTTACAGGTGTTTTAATGTCTTGATTTGGGCACTTTGAACTAAGAAAGGAGCTGCTACTCGAATTTTCACATTGTTCATCTACCTTTGGGGAAGAAGTTCTTTCTTGATGCTTTGTATCTTCTTTAGAAATTCCTAAAGTCACCCTGTCCCCAGAAGGCTGACTTGGCCCCTCTGAAGAAGCCATTTGTTTTCCTGATTCTGTTTCTTGTTCCTGTAGCAATCTTTCCACCTCAACTTCAAGTTCCAAAGCCTCCTCATCAGCTTGTACATCCAGCTGTTGCATCAATTCCTCCAACTTTTTGGCCTTACGGAGCTCATTTTGTTGGATGATTGTACAAAGATGCTCAGTGAGTTGCTCTTTAATTTCAGTCTTGCACTGCAGATCTGGCTATGCTATAACATATTCTGCTTCAGCCTTGTCATAACGCTTCCTGCAAGTACAGGTACAAAAAGTAGTCCATTACTTTTCCATTGAAGAAGAAATTCAAAGGAAGGTATGAAAATTCTAATTGCATACAAAATCAGAGAAAAACAGAAAATAAAATATGCCCATTAATGCTTTATTAACACTTGTCTAAACCATAGATAAATAAGGAAGCTGCTGCTGAAACTTCTACATCCTAAAAATGACCAAGAAAGACATGTTACAGTTATTAGACAAGTCAGGGGAAGACTGAGCAATGAATCCCCAAACATATATTCAGTTCCAAATCTCCAAAAGCTGTGAATACAAAACCTTATGTGACAAAACTGAATATTACCTTATATGGCAAAAGATGTGATTAAATTAAGGATCTAGACAGGAGAAGTTTATTGTGGATCACTATGAGTCAGTTGTTGACTCGATGGCACCTAACAACAATTGGAATGAAATTATCCCTATAGGCTCCAAATGTAATCACAAGCATTCTAATGAGACACACAAAGAGTTTCGTGGGAGAAGAGGTGGTGGCTAGGTGACTATACAGGTACAGACTGGAGTGATGCAGCCAAAAGCCAAGCAACACTTGTAGTCCCTAGAAGCTGGAAGAGGAGAGGATGGATTCACCCCTTAAGACCAGAGAGGAGTGCAGTTCTGCCAATGCCTTGATTTGTACTTTTGGCTTCCATAACTATGAGAGAATATGTTCCCGTCATTTTAAGTCACTTGATTTGTGGCAATCTGGTATGGCGGCACTAGGAGAAACAAATACAAATGAAGAGATATGAACTCTAGATGATGAAGTGATACATGTGAAATATCTGCTAATGAGTCTTCAGAAAATGATACCCTATGTGAATTTTCTCAAATTCAAAAATTAGTGAGTGAGAGGCGGGGCTTGATGGCAGATAGGGCAGAGTGTAGTAAAGATCTCTGTCAGCAATAACACAGAATACCAGATGAAAGAGTTTCAGGGGATAGCTCCAAAACTCTGAACTACATATATAAGAGTATTTAAAAAGTTTGAAGGCTTATAGCCAGTAGAACTTGTAGCGGAAACACAAACTTTCATACTTTGAACCCACCAGGTTTGACAACTTGGGCGACACCGAGTGGCGAGAACAAGTGAGGGAGCAAGCAGACCAGCCATGGACTGACGCTTGAGGGAACCTTGGAGATAAAGATAATACTTTGTTCTGGTTTTTTTTTTTGTTGTTGTTGTTTTTTGGTATCTGTTCATTGGCCTCGTCTGAGCACCTCCAGTCTGGTGACTAGAGAGGGTGCCTGAGCGAGCGGACACCTCCCCCACCCCTGGAGGGTTCTACTACCCATGTGCACAGACCTCCTCAAATTTAAAAAGGCAGATTTGGCATAAAACCAAATGGCGGCACAAAACAGCCACAGCCAGCCCTGAACTATTTATCACTAGGAAAAAGGCCAGAATGGGGGTTGTGAAGTGGGAGAGCTAGAATAAAAACAAAACAGGCTGAAAGTTAAATCTGGAGTTATATCAGAACAGCCAACAGTAGCATCTTGAAATTTTTTAGGTGGCCTTGAAGGCAAGAAGCTGAAAGTGGATATTCAAGTCATACTCATATTAGGCTACAGACTTTTTATTTTTCTTGCTCTCTCTTCTTTCTTTTCTGCAATTATAGACTACAGTATCCAATCTGTTGCTTTTTTTCTTTTTGCTGTTGCTGTTTTACCTTTAGGGGACCCTTTCTCTCCCTATATTAAGAGACAGCAATTGCTACAATCACACCCTATAAAACCCTACAATCCAGGCAAGAACCAATACCAACTGCCATACACCAGGAAGGCAGACAACACCTATGACAGTTACTCTGAGTTAAGTAATAAGAAGAATGAAAAGGGAAGCCCATCTTCTGATCACATCTATCTGGAGGCAATCAGAAAGCCCAGAAAATACCAAAACACACACTCAATATATTAAGGCCACAGCTATCCACTGAACATGCCCAAGAAGCAAAAACAGATAACCATATCAGCACATGTCCAGAAACAAGATAAAGTGATTGAGACAAATGATCTGGAGGTAGACCTCTACTCCATAATGGAAGGAGGGCAGGCCTTGGAAATACCTGAGAAGGAATTCGGAAAAACGAAAACACACCAAAATGTTTGGTACATGGCTAAAACAGTGCTGAGAGGACAACTGATTGCAATATACACACACATTCAAAAAGAAAAAAAACCCAAAATTAACACATAACACAGTATTTCCAACAATTAGAAACAGACCAACAGAGGGAACCTACAGTCACCCAAAGAAAAGAAATAATAAAGATTAGAGCAGAAATAAATGAGATAGAAAACTGGAAACTATAGAAGAAATCAACAGGACAAGAAGCTGGTTCTTTGAAAAATTAACAAAATCGACAGACCATTGGCAAACCTAACAAAAGAAAAGAGGGAGAAGCCACAAATAACACATGGACAATGTCATAACAGAACCAACCAAAGGAAATCAAAAGGAGAATAACAGAATACTATGAAAATGTACTCCAACAAATTTGAACACTTAGACGAGATGGATACATTTTTAGAAAAACATGACCTACCTAAACTCTGGTAGCGTAGTGTTTACGAATCGGGCTGCTAACCTGAAGGTCGGCAGTTCGAAACTACCAGCCATTCCCGTAAAGATTTACAGCCTTGGAAACCCTGTGCAGGGTCGCTATGGGTCAGAACCGCACATAACAACACCACCTAATAATTGCTATCAGGACTGACTGTGAGTGTTGGAAACGTAAAGGTAGATGTTTTGTAACAAAAGGACAGGAGTGGTTGACTTTATAGTCCAGGAGCAGACGTCCCTCTGGAGAAGAGCAGAATGCGGGACCCTACTCAGAGAAGTAGTGATGCCAGAGATGGAGGCAGAGAAGATGACGTGGAGAGATGGAGCGTCTGGGAACTGTAGACCCAGGGAGGGTGAAGGGTTGTGTGCTGACAGCTGGGGGGCAGGCTTGCGGGGTGTACCCTTTGATTGTTTGATGATGCATGGATGAGATTGTAACCATGGCAATGAAGGAAATAAGAAAGGATGAATATAAGGCTAATGTTCTCCCATGTAAACTACCACATGATTTACAATAAAAATGTAAAAAAAAAAAGAGTGAAAAATATATTTGAATATGTCTCATTTCAGTTGTTGTTATTAGGTACCATCGAGTTGGCATTGACTCATAGTGACCCTGTGTACAATAAAACTAAATACTGCCCAGTCTTAGGCCAACTTCACAATCACTGCTATGCCTGAGCCCACTGCTGCTGCCACTGTGTCAATCCATTTCGTTGGAGGTCTTCCTCTTTTTCTCTGACCCTCTACCTTACCAAACACGATATCCTTCTCCAGGAACTGGTCCCTGATAATAATGTCCAAAGTATGGAGGCAAAGTCTGGCCATCCTGACTTCCAAGGAGCACTCTTCCAAGGCTGTACTTCTCCCAACAAAGATCTGTTTGTTCTTTTTGAAGTCCCTGGTACTTTTGGTATTCTTCTCCAATGCCATAACTCAAATGCATCAATTCTTTTACAGTCAGCAGTATTCACTGTCCAACTGTCGCATGCATATGAGGTTACTGAAAATACCATGGTGTCAGGTGTACCTTAGTCCTCAAACTGACATCTTTGCTCTTCAACATTTTAAAGGTCTTCTGCAGATCTGCCCAATGTAATATGTTGTCTGATTTCTTGACTGCTGCTTCCATGAGTGTTGGCAGTTAATCCGAGCAACTGAAGTCTTTGACAATGTCAATATTTTCTCCATTTATATGGATGTAGTTTATTGGTCCAGTGGTGAACATCTTTGTTTTCTTTACATTGAGATGCAACCCATAGCAAAAGTTGTAGTCTTTGATCTTCCTCTAAGTATTTTAAGTCTTCATTTTCAGCAAACAAGGTTGTATCAGCTGTCTATTACAGGTTGTTAATGAGTCTTCCTCCAACCCTGATGCCACATTTTTCTTTATATAATCCAGCTTCTTGTTTTATGTGCTCATTGACTAAGTATGGTAAAAAAATACAATGCAGGCACACATTTTTCCTTATTTTAAACCATTTGGTGGTTCCCTTATTCAGTTTGAACAATTGCCTCCTAGTCTATGTACAAGTTCCTCCTTAGCACAATGAAGTGTTCTGGAATACTTATTCTTTTCAATGTTGTTCATAGCTTATCCTGATCCACACAATTGAAAGCTTTTGTGTAGTCAATAAAACACAGGTAAGCATCTTTCTTCTCTACTTTAAGCCAAGAGTCATCTGACATCAACAATGATATCCCTCATTCCATGTCAATTTAACAGGAAGAATGTAATCACATAATATTTTACAAATATCTTGGCAGTGTTGCTAAAAGGATGGGGCAGTATTTTTATTAAGAATTTTTTTTAAAGTTTTTATTGTGAATTGATTGATAGTTTACATGGGAGAACACTGGTTTTACACTCAGTGTTTCCTTGCAATGAATACAACCTCCTCCATGCATCATCATTCAGCAGTATTTGCTTCTATTCCCTCTGTTTTTTTGATGTACACAAAACATCCAGGAATATCTAATAATTTGAACAACCAAAGGGCACATTCTGAAAGCCTGCCTCCTGGCTGCTAGCATGCAGCCTTTCTCTTTCCATAAGTCTAGAGTCCTCAGCTACTCTATTTATCCATGTCCTCATCTCTGGTGTTGCTGCTTCTCTGGACAGGGTCCCACATTCTACTTGTTCTCTTTTCCTTTGATGGTCCTAGAGTCCTCTGTTTCTGGACTGTAAAATTAACTACTCCCCCCTTTTTGTTACAAAACTTCTACCTTTACAGTTATGACAGTCACAATCAGTCATGATAACAATTACTCACTATTGAATCATAAGAATTGTATCCTCATCTCCTTTCACCAGACTCGTCTAGACAAGATGAAAACTATTTAGTGGGGATTCTATCTTCCCCCACATACTCTGAAACTAAAATCCCTTGTGAAAATGTGTAAGCCAGTCACTTCGTGCCTTTATAGTCACTGCATTCATTGTAGGTAGTCAATGTCTAAGTTGCCCACCCCTATCAACCCTGTATAGAGAGGAAATAGGATTGATGCTTGATGTGAAAATGCCTTCCCTCGCAGTTGGTATTTTGAGTTACTACATCCATAAGTATAAGCCAAATTCATTAAACTGTGGTAATTTACATTTGCTTCCTTTATTAAAAATAGTTTTTTTTAATCTTCCTTTAGTCAAATTCTGGTCATCAAGTCACTGAGGCTATAGCTAATGAGTACTATCTACAAATCTGGGCGTTCTTGTGCATCTCCCTTTGTTTTCTTTATCAAAAATTATTTGTTTTTTTATCTTCCTCTAGTTGAGTTCTAATACCAAGCCATCGAAGCTAGGTTGAATGAGTACTATCTACACATTTGGGTATTCTTGTGTGTCTCCCCTTTAAGATTTTTATTATGCTTAGAATTTTATTAAAACTCCAAATAACACTGTTTCTCCGTAATCATGTTTATTCTCACTTCCATAAAGTATTCATAAAATGATATACATAAACAAACTTGGGGGGTGGGGCAGGTGTTATGTGCCCTGGAGTTGGTTCTGACTCATAGAGACCCAGCACAGGGTTTCCAAGGCTATAAATCTTTACAGGAGCAGAAAGCTGCATCTTTCTCCCACAGAACAGCTGGTAGTTTCAAACTGCTGACCCTGAAGTTAGCAGCCCGATTTATAACCGGCGGTTATTAAATGCACATGGGAACTAGTGATCATTTTTTTCTTGGTATAACCAAACCAGTTGCTGTTGACTCATTCCAAACAATCCCACAGGTGTCAGAGCAGAACTATGTTTCATAAGGTTTCTGGTGGCTAGTATTTTCATAAGTAAATTACCAGGCCTTTCTTCTGAGGTATCTCTTTGTGGACTTGAACCTCCAACCTTTTGGTTAACAGGTCAGTACATTAACTACTTAGCAGCTCTGTAGAATAAATACCTGACAATCTGCTCCCATAAAAATGACAGTATAGAAACCCTATGAGGTAGTTTTACTCTTTCCCAAGGGCTCGCTATGAGTTGAAACTGACTTGAAAGCACCTAATGACCATTTGAATTATTCAAGGATACATTATTCCTGTTATACTTAGGACTGAAATACACACATACATGTATATATCTTCTATAATTCTAACTGTTAGCGGCAGAACCTGCTATTTTCTCAAGCTGGCACATTCCCAGCGCAGGTCTCCTCAGAGATATCTCTACTCTCACGCTGTTCTATGGGGTTTTCTTGACTGTAATATTTAGGCAAGCAGATCGCCCCATATCTTTCTTCTGCAGTACCGCTAACTGGGTTTGAACCATCAATCTTCAAGTTAGTAGTCAAGCACAAACCATTTGTGCCAAGTAGGGACCTCCAAAGGAGCCCTGGGGTACAGTGGGTTAAGCATTGGGATCTGAACCTACCAGCTGCCCTACAGGAGAAAGACGAAGCTGTCTCAGAAACCCTAAGGAGCAATACTACCCTGTCCTATAAGATCACATGCAAAAGAACTGACTCAATGGTAGTAGGTTTGGTTTAAGAACCTCCTGGCACTATAGGACTAAACTTGTTTAACAACAACAACAACGACAACAAATCATATCTCTACTAGAAATTTGAATCATAACATTATTTCACCAATTTCTAGTTTCTCAATTACTATAGTTGGAAATTTCACAAATGTGGTCTTATGCATGAACAAGAAGGCACAATTCTGGTTCTAGTCACAGTCTTCTAGGCTTCTTTCTGACTTAGCACAAGTGCTCAGGCTTACAAAATCAGTCTCACACAATATCCACTTACATACAACAATGTCAGTGTCAGTAAGGAAAAGAAATCATCATCTTTACTTTTATTAAGCAACATCAAAGACATAAAAGTCTACGACAATTTTATTAGGAATATTTATAGATTATGGGATATTTTCTTCTTTAGCAATTCCATCGTCTCTGTTGTTCTCTGAAGGCTAAAACTATAGTATCAGTTATATAATATTCAATATGCAAAGGTACCCTTACACAACCTACACATAAGACAAATTTAAAACATAACCAGATTATTTTTCAGCTGAGGTTGCCAGCACCACACCTTATAATCTTAATTATTTATATAAGAAACTACAAAGGAATTAAAATGTTCCTCTGGCAAACTTATGGTACAGAGAATAAAATATGCTAAAAATGAAGGATTAGTTTACTCTTAATAAAATCCTGGTTACCTCCTTAATAGAAATCTGGAAATTCCAGTTATCAGCTACTGATGGCAATAACTTAGCAAGTTAATTAATAAAGGCAACCCATTTAGTTTAGTAGTATACGGTCGGTCAAACTACAATTACAAAAATCACAAGGACAGCTACAAACTTCTTAAACACCAAACAGTGTACTGAAAACCACAATCAAGCATTTCCACTTTATTAAACTGTTATATAAACATTCTGATGCTGTGGTTTACCCTGGGTTAATGAGGCATTCGGATTGATTTCCAGTGTTACAGAGAGAGATGCAAAACTGAGTCATTAACACGGCGTTCTCTTGTGAAAAAAGACAAACCAAGATGATTAAAGCAATGTTGAAAGAACAGAAAACCCTGAAATCTGAGTTAATTTTTTGCCCTTTTTATCTGTTTGCAAAGTCCATGTAATTCTTTACATGTGTTAGTTCATTTTCCAAATATTCCATGATGGTTTTTTCTCTTTAAAAAATGCTAGTGGTTGAAACCAAGAAAATATACATCAAATCAATTTGTGCAGTGGACAATCGAAAATAAAATTTAAAAAGTTTCAAGTTTCCAAGATGGAGTTGTATTTTCTTTAAAATATAATGTGGATTCAAAAAGTTTGTGGAAGAATTCCATTATGTTTTAAGTCTGTTTCCCATGAACTTTGGAAGCCCCCTCATACTCCTAAGCTTTTTAAAAAAATAAAGTAGATCATGCTACTTTGAGGAAAACTAAAATGAGAACAAGGCTTCAATCTCATAATGATCATCTCAATCCAAATTTCTTAATGGGAAGGGTATAAACTTGGAGTATAAAGAATAGAGTATTAATATTGACTGAGACATAATAGTTCCATGTTTTGTGGTGAGTCATTCAGATAATTCCATGAGGTAAGAAATAATTACTCAGAGTTTGCTATATGGCATTTACTTTGTTAGACTGTAAGAGATTAATAAAAACAGAGTCCCAAATATTAACAGCTGATGATTTAACAGGAAAGACTAAAATTTAAGTAAATAATCTAAGAAATGTTCTAACTAGCATATAACAAGGTAAGCTATAGAAATGTTCTAACTAGCATATAACAAGGTAAGCTATAGATATGTTCTAACTAGCATATAACAAGGTAAGCTATAGAACAGAGTTAAGGAAATCTTCACAAAGGAGGAGGTACCTGAATTATCAAAAAAAAAAAACAAGAAAATGCAGCACCTGCTGGGGTTGTTCTGAAGCTTAAATAATGATAGGCACAAAAGTATAGCGTAGTGGTTACGAATTGGGCTGCAAACCGCAGGAGTTCAAAACTACCAGCTGTTCCGCAGGAGAAAGATGAGGCTTTCTGCTCCCGTAAAGATTTACAACATCAGAAACCCTGTACAGGGTCGCTATGAGTCGGAACCTACTCCACGGCATATAACAATGACAACAACAACCTCACTTGGACAGCAATGGACATCAATTTAAATGGACTCCCTGATCAGAGTTTTCAGTTTACAAAACTCACTGGGCATATGAATAGTCTAGGCTGGCTTGATCAATCCGGTTCCTGAGGATTCCAATGTCAGCTGACACCATGTCATCTAAAGCTTGTAACTCCTTCTGGATCCGCTTTAGTTTTATGGTCTCTGCCTGTGTTCTTTTAGACCTAGAAAATCAGGAAGATGAGTGGGAAAACAGATACTTATAAAACTGTATATTCATACAAAATTTAAGGCGGAAAAAAGACAAGCTATTATGTGGTTATTTCCTATACCAATGGTGGTATCTGAATGACATATATATGTATTTATATGTACATACACAGTTTAAATTTTTAAAATTACAAAAACTTAAATACAGGTAACATTTTGTTACATCTCTCTTAGTTTACATTTGAGATTTTCCCCTTATGTTTCCAGATATATATATATATATATATATATATATGCTGTTAGAAAATCTGTATACACACACACACACAAGGAGCTCTGGTAGCGTAGTGGTTAGGAATCGGGCTGTGAACCACAAGGTCGGCAGTTCGAAACTACCAGCTGTTCCGCGAGAGAAAGATGAGGCTTTCTGCTCCTGTTAAGATTTACAACCTCGGAAACCCAGTACAGGGTCGCTATGAGTCGGAACCAATGATTCTACAGCACATAACCACCACCAACCACCACCACCATATATAAACACACACACACATAGACACACACACACACACACATACATACACACATACATACAGGAGAAAATAAAGTTTAAAAACATCCCAATAAATCATTCACCTGTGATCTATATTCATCTCATAAAAAGAATAAGTATTAAAAGAATACATCTCTATTCCCTTTTCATCAGAACATCTTACATAGTCTTCTGAATTTTTAACTCTTAAATTTGTCTTCCTGTTAAGCTCATTTCCATTTGTCTGGAACTTAGCAGACACTGAGAAGAGACGCCTACCATTAACAAACACCATTTCTTGATATGTCTGAAAACATATCTTTTAGTTTTTACTTTCTTAGGACTCATTTCCCTAAACTTTTATTGCTTTGATTATTGTCCTCCAGACATAACTACAGGTCTTTAAAATTATGTGTGGGGCTCCAAAGCAAACACTTTCTTCTTTCCTTCTTTAAAAGCACATCCAACCTCATTATCTCTCAATCTCCTTACCACCCCCAAATACAATACACAATTAAGAAGCAGAACAGGCAAACCCAAAAGCAAATCTTTAATCATGATTTCACTCATTTCTCAATTTCATACATGTTCTTGAACAGGAAGAAAACCCTCACATAAAACCACCATACTGCAACTTATTTTAAGAATAAATTCTGCCCATTTATGATACTCAAAAACTACTGAATGACAAAACCCAATCATTCCTCCTAATTCTGCTCAACTTAGTCATGAAATGCCCAAGATCATTCTCTGGAGACCTACTCCACTATGCATTTACTTGTGATCCCTGCCTACAAAAACACATTTACCAGTATGATTCTTTTACTTCATGTACTTCACTGCTCATATTTCCACCTACGTTGGTGCTGTCTCATATATAAAGCATTTAGGGGAAGAGTGAGTCTATCCCTGTACATTTCTTTATAAAAATGCTCAAAAGAATAACTTCTCTGCTGCCTCAAAACTGAAGTGCTTTTCCATAATCTCTCTAATAGAAAACCAAAAGAGGGCACTAGTTTTTTAATATGTTGCTTCTTAAAACAAAAGAAATTCAGCGAGCTGTATACTTCCTAGGCTTCATGAAACATCAAGGTGCATCGGTCGTTACTGTTGTTAAGTGCTATTGAGTTGGTTCCGACTCCGACTCAGCAATGCTCTCTAGGGTTTCTATGGAGGGGCTGGTAGGGTTGAATTGCTTATCCCACAGCGCCCTACCAGGACTCCATGAAAGATCAAGGTGCACTAGTAAGAGGGGGAAGAAAACAAAAAACAAAAACAAAACCCAACACTTTTGAATACATCCCTCTGGAAATAAAATTTCGATAACCCTTATGGCTATCTTCTGTCTCTCTCAGCACCCTTCCAACTCCCCCCAAAGTGCATCCGAGCCTCTCAAACAATAATAGTTTTGTCAATTTCCTAAAGCCACAGCAAAGTGAACTACAAACTAAATGGGCAGGAAGAGTGGGGGGCGGGGCATGGGAAGTGTGACTTGAATGGGACTATTGCTGATGCTCAAGGTGGGCGCAAAGAGAGTGAAGATGTCAAGGAGGAACGATCACTGACAAACCCTGACATGTGAAATAAAACTGAATTTCACTGAGTGTGTGACAGTCAGTGCTCACAAGAGTGACCTTGAGTCATTAGCAAAAGGTTAAACCACATCAAGTGATGTATGCGTGCACAGTAAATTATTTACGAAAAATGTCATGGAAAACACAACTAAGATTTGTGGGAGTGTAAGTCACTTATGCAGAATACATTACGCCACTACATGCCAGATGATTAAGACCTTACATCAAAATTAAAACTTCCATTTGTTGCCAGTTATAGACTCCTTCCCTTATGAATGTACGGCCGTGGTTATGTGCTGTCAAGTCAGTTCCAACTCACAGCGACCCTGTGTAGGGTTTCTGAGGCTGTAAATCTTTACGGGAGCAGAAAACCTCACCACTGTGACAGTTAAAACTGAAAACCCTGATGCTCATCTTTAAGTTTCAAATGCATCTGTATTTATATACTCAGTGTGAGTTGTGCTTAAAAAGTCCTCCTTAATCTGTTAAGACAATCACATTTTAGGCATCATTTATAAAGCCTAAATAATTTAAAAAATTAATCTCAGATCACTGTATCGAAATCATCAGTTTATTTTTGACACTGTGTCAGTGGCTGACACCATCTGTTACAGTCTTACCTTTTAGAGTTTTCTGTAATGGAAGTTTCCACTACCTTAACATCCTTAAGACAATAACCAATGTTTATTTTATGAATTTCATGTATTAGAACAGAAAATAAATTTAAAACATGATTGACTGACTTAAAGTTACAAACAACATTCTTGGCTCATGTGCCTCACCTTTCCGCAATAGCTTTGGCCAAAAGAGCTTTTTTACGTTTATTTTTCTCTTCCATTAGCCGTTGTTCTTGTTGGAGAACTTCCCAACGAGATTTTTCTTGCCTGGGGAACAACAATGTATATATGTGAGTTATGAAAGAGACTGCTACCCACACCTTACCAGCCTGTGCCCTAAGTATAAAATTTAGTCAACCAGATTATGTATATTTTCTTTCAAAAGTCCTCTTAAAAGGAACTCATCTGCAGCTCGTTATTTTATCCTAATAAGAACAAAGACTATGATCTTAAGTAAGGAAGACTGACATAAATTGGCCCTTTGAAGTCTATTTTATGTATATAATCTAGGAACCCACAAACTGGAAGCCAAAGTAATTGTGGCTCTTTTTAGGAGTACAAAGAAGCTTGTGTAAGTTAATTAGGTATTATATGCTAAATGGAGATCAAAATATATTGGACTGTAGCTGATGCCATCTGTTATATTCTTACCTTTCAGAGTTTTCTATAAATGAAAGTTTCAACCACCTTAACATCTTTAAGACTATCATAACCAATGTTCACTTCATGTATTGTGTTTCAATTCGTTCATCTCTTTCTGAAACACTGTTAACTAAGACTTGAGTGAATACTGGGTTAGAAAAATGCCCCAAAGACTTGAAAACATGAATTTATTTCCCAATCTGTTGAACTCTGAAAGCACAGTATTAAAAATTTCCAAGTCAACTTAAGGTAATGATAAGGTGATTTTACTCTTACTATTGTCAAGTCTTACAGCCATAATTAAACCAAAGATCTTACCACCTCCACTTCAGTGCTAGCATTTGGCCATTTCTCTTTTTAACTAGAAGAGGCACTTCATCAGGCACTTTATTTTGCCATTCTCAGCACTCTATCCCAAATGGTCTTAAATGTTGATGTATGTGTTCTCTCTAACCATTATTTTGATGTGGATATCTCCACCTCGGAGGCCTTGGTCAGATCCTACTGTATCCCAGAACTGACTAGGCAGGGGGCTTATGCTTCCAAGGCCTTTGATTTCTAAGGCTCTACTATTTTTTTTTCTTTAAGTTTTTATTGTGAATTGAGTGATAGTTTACATGGGCGAACATCAGTTTTACACTCATCTTATTGTATTTCATTTCATTGCAATGATTACAATCCTTGCCATGAATCATCATTCAATAGTAATTGCTTCTATTCCCTGTTTTTTTTTTTTTTGAGATGTACACAAACACACTCAAAAATATTCAATCAGTTAAACAACCAAAGGGCACATTCTGCAAGCCTGCCTCCTGGCCACCAGCACACAGCCTTTCTCTTCCCATGAGTCTATAGTCCTCCACTGCTCTATCTCTCCATGTCCTCATCTCTCCCTCCATCTCTGGTATCACTGGCTCTATGGATAGCATTCCACATTCCACTCCTGCTCTTCTCCCATGAACGTTCTATTATTCTTGAGTCCTGGTATAGCATTGTAGGATAAACACTGCACTATTAACCTCAAGGTTGCTCCTGGGAAACACTGTTGCTATGAGTTGGACCATATCTCAGTACTTGAGTTGTTGTTGTTAAGTGCCGTCGAGTCGATTTCAACCCATAGCGACCCTGTATAGGGTTTCTAAGGAGCAGCTGGTGAGCTTGAACTACCAACCTTGCAGTTCAAACGACTTTGCAGTCTGACGCATTAGCCCACAGTGCCACACCAGGACTCCTTAAAGAGATTTAAATATATTTGCATGTACTTATTCAATGTTTATTTCATAGATCATGCAATTTTATATCTGGTCACAATGATTTATTAGCTACAAACCCTTTACGGGTAAGAAACAATTTAAACACATAGTGCAGATCTGGATCAGCAGAGATTTAAAAATATTTCAGCAATAATGGAAAAAAAAACAACTTATAAAATAAAAGACTCAGAATATAAAAAACGGAAGCAAATGCCATCTTTACTTTCCCTTGAGTGATATAACATGAGGAAATAAAGAAACAGGGAAAGATATTAGAACACATGCTCTAAAATTAATACATTCCAGTAAGAATCCACAAGTCACAGACTGGCACATTTCATAAGAATATAAAACATAGCACCTGATGTGGTGCTGTGGGTTAATGCGCTAGACTGCAAAGTCGGTCTGAACCACAAGGTCAGCAATTCAAGTACACCAGCTGCTCCTCGGAAACCCAACACAGGGTTGTTCTGGGTCAGAACTGACTTGACAGCACTTAACAACAACAAACCAAATTATGTATATAAGTGGTTTCTAATACAAATACAATATTAAATATAGACTTACAAAGAAATCTAATGAGGCAAACAAATTACATAATTAGTCCCTGCAATTTCCTATTCTCTTTCCCATGACTGTCTCCTTTTTATGTCTCTTCACAAAGTTTCCTTTTCTGGGCCAATACAGCCCCAGTCTGGAAGTTTAAGGTTAGTTGAGTTAGGGGAGAGAGATTATACATACGAAAAACTACTTTTGGTTGCTGGAGAAGGCATACACATTGGGTCCAGATAGACTTATATGTGAATCCCAACTATACTACTTATCTGCATATTAGCTTTGGAAAAATAGTATCTTTCCTGAGTCCTAGATCGTTTATCGGTGAAGTAAAAATAATAAACATGCACTGTAAAAACAAAATCACAAAAGCATAAAATGCCCAGTGGTGCCTGGCATAGAATAAATTTGGATGGTGGTTATCTTTCAGCAGTTTATTCATCAGATTTCCAGGTTTTAGTGTAAGATGGAGGAAATGTTAAAACCTGCATTTCCTCAAAGTTCGACAGGAAAAAAAAAAAAGTTAAATGGGAGAAAAATCTCATGGATATATAGACTTACTAACAATTCCATTTTCTTTTTCTCCAATTTGCAATCTGGCTTTGGAGGTAGAACCTCAACTTTTTTGTTGAGGTTCCCATCATGGGAATTTTCAAACACCACTTCCCTTGGCTGACTTTTGGCCCCCTGTTGTTTTCCATCCTCAGTAGGAGAGAGGGGTGTAACAGGAGGAACAGGAAGAGAGGGATGTGGTTTTTGAGTATTAAATCTCTGAGTTGTTGCAGAAAGCAACTGTTCTGGAGGTAATGAGGTTGATCCATCTTGAAGTCCAAGTTTTTGGCTTTGTTCTTGAAGGGCTTTTTCTCGCTGAAGTTGCTGTCGACTTTTGTTCATGGGGCGACGCCGCTGTGATTCAAATGGATCTGTAACAAAGACAAAGTGAGGACAATTCCTTTGAGTCAGCACAAAAAAACTAGTTTCTCTAAGACACTTAAGTATTAACAACATTAAACTTTGATAAGTAACAATTCAAGAGAGTTTTTTTGTTTGGTTGGCTTTCCCTTCTCTATTATGAATACCATTTGACAGTGTGGATTATAACAAATTATGGATAACATTGCAAAGGCTAGTATACCATAGCACGTAATTGTGCTCATGAGGAACCTATCCGTACATTGACCAATTGGCAGTTCTACAAATAAAACAAGGGGATACCGAATGGTTTAAAATCAGGAAATATGTATGCCAGGGTTGTATCCGTTCATTATACTTATTCCATATGTACGCTGAGCAAAGAATCCAAGAGGCTGTATTATATGAAGAAGAACCTGGCATCAAGATTGCAGAAAGACTCATTAACAAACTGCAATATACAGATGATACAACTTGCTTGCTGAAAATGAAGAGGACTTAAGTATTTACTGATGATCAAAGACCATAGCCATCAGTATAGATTGCACCTCAGTATAAAGAAAATGAAAATCCTAACAACCTATAAATAACATCATGATGAACAGAGAAGTTGACAAAGACTTCATTTTGGCTGGATCCACAGTCAATACTCATGGAAACAGAAGTACAGAAATCAAATGATATATTGTGTTGGTGGTGGCAGTAGTGTTCCATGGAGTTGGTTCTGACTCATAGAAATCCTGCATAGGGTTTATTGTTGTTGTTAAGTCGATTCTGACCCATAGCGACCCTGTATAGGGTTTCCAAGGAGCAGCTGGTGAGCTTGAACTGCCAACCTTGCAGTTCAAATGGCTTTGCAGTCTG